AGAGAAGGTATTAACTGAAACCTGAGGACATGGGGGAAAAAACTGTATACATACTGAAGAAGTCAATCATTAAAGTAAGGTATAATGAGAAATGGATAACAGAGGGAAAATTATATGGGACCGTACTGAAAACATTCCAAGTTGCCAACTTTAATTAGTGTTTGTGAAATCCCTGACTGTTGCCATGGCAATAAATGTGCTACTACAAATGCAGCATTCTGACTTCTTCACAGGATCAAGCGAAGTTGGAAAGGAGCAAATCCCTGTGTAAACATCAATATCGTCAATTAATTAGGAAACACAGCAAGATAAATAATAAGACCCCATGAAAGGTAAATTAATTTCTGTTTTCTGACTGCTATGTTTTAAAGTTTCCCCAGTATCAAGCCATCTCTGTAATTCATTTTTGTTCTACAGTAGTGCTTAATCACAGACCACGATGGAAGTTATTGTCGAGGGAGTTTTTTTAATACATTACTTAGCAGGTTAAAAACTTCAGGTTATTTGAGATATTTCAGCTACTTAAACTTATTTCTTTCCTTAAATGTCACTTAGCTTGTTTGTTTATTTATTTATTTATTTGAGATAAAATTCCACCTAAACAAGGTCAGACTTCTCTGTTCTTTTAAGAAAAATTTATAAACGATCTAAAATGGAGTAGATCATCTTGAGTGCCATCACATGGCACATACAGAACAACCAGTGGATCAGGCCCGGTCAGTATGGATTAATGAAAGGCAGGTCCTGCTTGACTAACATGATCTCCTTCTGTGATAAGGTGACTTGCTTAGTGGAGAAGGGAAAGGCTGTGGTTGTTGTCTAGATAGGCTTTATTAAAGCCTTTGACACCATTTCCCACAGCATTCTCTTGGAGAAACTGGCTGCTCATGTCTTGGATGGGTGTACTCTTTGCCGGGTAAAAAACCTGGCTGGATGGCCAGGCCCAAAGAGTGGTGGTGAATGGAGATAAATCCAGTTGGCGGCCAGTCACAAGTGGTGTTCCCCAGGGCTCAGTTTTTGGGCCAATTCTGTTTAATATCTTTAGCAATGATCTGGATGAGGGGATCGAGTGCACCCTCAGTAAGTTTGCAGATGACACCAAGTTGGGCAGGACTGTTGATCTGCTTAGAGGGTAGGGAGGCTCTACAGAGGGATCTGGACAGGCTGGGTCGATGGGCCGAGGCCAATTGTATGAGGTTCAACAAGGCCAAGTGTCAGGTCCTTGGGTCACTTGGGTCACAACAACCCCATGCAGCACTACAGGCTTGGGGAAGAGGGGCTGGAAAGTGGCCCAGTGGAAAAGGACCTGGGGGTGTTGGTCGACAGTGGGATGAATATGAGCCGGCAGTGTGCCCAGGTGGCCAAGGTGGCCAACAGCATCCTGGCCTGTATCAGAAATAGTGTGGCCAGCAGGAGCTGGGAGGTGATTGTCCCCCTGTACTCGGCACTGGTGAGGCCGCACCTCGAGTCCTGTGTTCAGTTTTGGGCCCCTCACTCCAAGACAGACATTGAGGTGCTGGAGCGTGTCCAGAGAAGAGCAATGAAGCTGGTGAAGGGTCTGGAGAACAAGTCTTATGAGGAGCAGCTGAGGGAACCAACCTAAATGATTCTGGGATTCTATGAAAATATTAAACAATGGGGGGAAATGGCATTTTTTTCCCCATAGTCTTGTCTCTTGCATGACTTCAGAATCTTGTACTTGACATTAAAGCAGTTCCATTATATGCACATAAGCATCTTGCCATATACAAAATGTCTATTCACAGCTGGAATCCCACCCTTCTTTTTAAAGAAAATCCTTGCTTTTGTGAGCTTAGTTCAGAATCTTGATCTCATCCAACTTTCACAGCCATGTCACAACTTCATGTATTCAAACTTCTTCTGTAACCAGATGCAGCCAGAGCATTCCATATTATGAATATAAAAGTAACGGTGTCTAATGTTAGAAAAGAAAACGGAAGAAAAATTGCTAAAAGTGTTTCCATATGGTAAACAAGTTTCTTTTTCTTTTATTTGACAAATCACTGTATTCATAATTCTCACAAACGCAGATCTGGAATACAGTTCTCAAATATATCATCTGCTGCTAAGAATTTGATTAATTGACTCCCCATTTATTCAATTACTGCATCAATAGTTTGGCATTTTTAAAAGTTAATCTTTTGTATCCATTAGTAATTATTGTTTAATCCATATCTTGCAATATTCCTAATGGTTGGTTTCACTAATTTAATAAAGAACAGCTAAATATCTCTTTTCTAAATACTATGTAGTTTTTATCACAGCTTAGTTCCAAACATGTGATTGACCAGGATTTTGAATAGTCTCATAGATGACCTATATACATAGGGTAAAAAAGATCAGTTTGAATACATGGGCTATTTTGAATTTTTCAATGCTTTTATCAAGTTTGCATAAAATTCGATACAGTGGCAGCATAAATTGCCCTGGGAAAGAGAAGGAAAACAAAATAAGAGCATTCACTGGACACTAGCTCAGTAAATAAAAGTTTTTATTCCCAACTCTGTGACTGAAATTCTGTATGCCCTTGGGCATTGCACTCCCTTTTCCCTGTGTTGCTCCTCTTTCTTTTTCTTTTGTCTATTTGGACTGGAGGTTTTCCTGGGTGGGTACTGGAGGTGCTAATTAGCGTAGCTAGCAAAATGGGGTCCTGATCTGTGTTGTGGCCTCTAGGTGTTGCTATAATACAAATAATTAATCAAAAGAAATGTTTCATAGTGTCCATAGAGGGAGTTGCCAATTTTTGTCAGAGCCATGCTTAATTTTATACAATTAAACCTCTCTCTCTCTCCTTCCTCTCTGCAACATAACTGAAACTTTAGCGTTGTATATTGGACAAATGTGAATGTGAAAAGTAAAAGCACTAAAACCGTAGAAAGAGATTTGACTCACCTCTAGTTAAAGTTACTTATTTTGGGGTGCCTTGGTGCCAGCCTCCTGTCCAAGGATGGTGTCTACTAGAGGAACCCGCTATCACATTCCTGACTCCGCCCAACCTTCCACGGCCAGAGTCAATCATCGGGTATCGCATCCCTCTGCAAGGAATCTGGCACTGATGGGTATGAGCACCTAAGGCACACGTAAGGACACAAGTGCAGGCGATCTACATCAGGACGCGGTTCTGTTCTCATGTCCAAGGACAAAGCTTATGGCCCCTGAAGTAATTACACACTGAGATACTTGTGAGTTTAATGAGGATAAGCTTTGTCTCGTGGGGTGGAAATTCAGACCCTTGTGTGGGCTGGTCACAAAATCAGCATGTTTTGCCTAACGGGGGACTACTATGCAAAACTCATTGCCATTATCATTAACAATTTTAAGATTCGTAGTTTAATTTTAAAAATAAGGCATGGAAAAAAAGCAACAAATAATGTGGAGGAGTTTGAGCAACCTTTTGTTTTGTCACGTTTCCAAAGAAGGAGCTGTCGATCCTGCAGCCCGCCACAGCACATCATTTGATGTACCCTGCAGCCGAGGAGTTCCCGCAGAAGAACAGCTCTGGCGGAGGTGTGCCAGAGCCGTCAGTACTCATGGCGATACCCAGAATAGTGGCAGATGCCTCTCAAAACTGCATTTGTTGAAAATGCATTTGTAGCCAAACAGTTTTGTCTGGCAGGGGATAAGCGATCCCTCCTAGCAAAGCAAAGGCACCGTAAGGAAAGGAATTGGATGCACACCTAAAAGAAAATGCTGCAGGTGCCTGCTGGAGCAACGTCTTACCAGGATTTGCTGACACAAAGGGGGAGAAGATGGGATCAGAGAGCTCTGTCCTCTTTCTAGCCAGATGTAGGTGCTACGGGACCATGAGCCCTGTAGCCATCCCCTCCGTCCCTTGTGGCCATCATTATCTGTGATTTAATTATAATCCCTTCCTGGCATGGAGGAGAAGTACAGTGAGGGGCAGGTAGTCCCTCTGCTCTGGTCTGTACGTAGTTCAACCATCATTCAGCTCTCAGTATCTAATTGAGATTGCATAACCAGATACTGCAGGCCTTATTGTATTTATATAAAAGCTATTTTAATCAAAAGGCTAGCCATTAAATTGCCAGTGTTCTTAAGCATGCTTCACCAATTTTTCCACTTTTAAGACTCAAGTAGACAATTTTTTTAATGTTTTATAAATGATAAAAAATTCGCATCAGATTTTAACAGAATTAAGCATACTTATTCAACACACATGGGGCCTCTGAAAAAAATGTTATTCAATTTAATAATTTTAATTTACATTGTATATGTACAAGAGCATTTCTTTCAACCCACAGGTTAACACCACAAAAAAAAAAAGAAAGAAAAAAGAAAAAGAAAAAAAGTACTGCGGTTAGCGGAGTGAAGAAACTCTTGAAACACTGTTGTCTGAAATAAAAGCAAGGCACTCTCCCTTAACACCTGATATATTCCTGAATTCTGCCTAGACAAAGGCATGTTCACACTGAGAGAGCTCTAAGAAAAGTAGTAGATTTATTCTGCGTTAACTCTTTCTTTTACCACTGTGACCTGTCACTGGTTGTACTCTAGGATGAATCTGTGTATTGAAGTTGACATGAAGGACAATTCCACAGATGACGGGATTTGGGAGAGTATCACAGTTAAGACTATCTATGGAAGACTGGAGGACACTGGCTACGTGAAATCTCACACGGGGCTCTGGACCTGCTACCTCCCACTCACATTCCACTTAATAAATAAACCTTGCTCAACAAAAAAGCAATTTTACTGTACTATGCTGATTCGCCTGAAAATTCTTCGTAAGGGCCCACTCGCAAGAAGTGCCTGCAAGCCCTCATCTGGTTGGTGCTCAGCACCTGGAGGATTTGTCCCTAGATAAAAGTCATTTCTCAAGGGACCTTGTGTCTTACACAAGGAGACAAAAGTAAACATACTTTCGGATTTTGTGTTTGTATGTTTTTGTATGCGCACATGTGTGTGAGTGTATATATATATATACGTATATATATATATTTAGTATATACAAAAGCGAGTTCAGTCAAAATATATTTGTCTTGCTGGTCAGGCTTGTTACAGCAACCTACAAGAAACATTAGCTTCTCTGATATTTAATTATGCTATTATGTTTGCACATAAGCTTAAAAGTCAATACAAAAAGCAATACTTTTCCAAATATTATCTGCAGGTAAACCGGAAATATTAACTATAGTGATTAGAAGTCTGTTTCCCTATTGACACTACTATAAATCTTGATATAAGAATAATTTTTTCATAAAAGCACATCCAAACATAGTAAGTGATAAAATACCAGATTACTATTTGAAAACCATACAGTGACTCGATATCTGGGTTATCCTTTGCAGCAATTAGGCAATTCATTTGGCATCTGTTTGATTGTATAATTTAATTTCCATATAAACAGCATAGTTTAAAAAAAGACAAAAGCTAGAATGTTTAAAGCTAACAAAAGATACAGTGACATCAGGTTGACATTCAAAAATTTCCTTAGCAAAATGACCAACAAAATTTTGACTTAATACAGTGCATATAAAGTTTTTTAGAACTAAACTTTTTAAATATTATTTGAATTTAGCAAAACATGAGCAAGATTTTAATATCAAAGTGCTAAACAGTACTGCCTTAGAAGTCACTGCAAATAAACTGTAAAATAACTCTGCTTGTGATTTGACAGATATTTTATATACAAATGGTTAATAAAAAGACACGCGCACACACACACACGCACACAAATATAGGTATATACATATATATATATACACATTATATATATGTATATAGTTTTCCAACTGGTGTATCTGAGTCAGTGTGAACACCCCATTTAGTTATCATGTGTAACAGGGCTCCCATGAGCTGGCAGTCATTGCAATAAATACAGGCAAAGCCATTACAATATACCATGCATACAAACATTTATACAAATAAAGACACTATGCAACAAATTATTTCATATTAATATGGCATCAACAGTATAAACATACAAAAAGGAGTACGAACACGGAATGTTTAAACGCAGCCCACTATATCCTTCCTAGCACTTACATTCATACTATTTTACAAGACTTGCTTGTTCTTGAAAACCATCTTCCGTCTGTTTACTAACTAGTCGCTTGTGTTAGAAGTCTAAAACCGAACTATCCCTGATGCTGACCCTGTATGCTCCAATCACTACTTACTCGGATTTCCTTAGCTAAGGAACAACTGAGCCACAATTGCTCCCGTGTCTTCCACATACATTTGTCAATAAGTTGCGCTACATGGAATCAAGTTTGGAAAACTCTGTCAGGTAAGTTAGTGCATGTAATTTTCTCACTTGATTTCTTCCGTTTGTTTTCATAGTAAAATAAATTAGTTAATAAACGAGACTTAGTAAGACAGCACTTTAAAAAATTGCACTTGAACATGGGAGCTAACAGCCATTGTCATTTTGCTATATTTGATTTGTATGAAATGTTCAATTGAATGTACTTTGCTAAAAAAAGTGAATTTTTGTTTAGATTGTGCTGATGTATGTGCCCTTGATGCAGGAAGTATGCTAAAGGTATCCTCACAAAACACATACTACCCTGGCAAACAACTATTTGCTGTTCTTGTTCTCAAACACAGCTTCTACAATTTTATTCCTCATGTACCATGAGGTGTTAAACAACAGATTTAAAACAGTCATGTTAACCTTTTACTGCTGCTGGGATAGCATTGTCCAAAAGTGCCATATTAGCCATTTAAAAAACCCAAATCACACAAAAGAAAACAAAGAACACAACCCCAAACCAGTAAGCCAGTAAGGTTCAGGCCTCAGGTTGTAAGGACAAAGCGCCAGAAAAGACCTCATTTTAGACCTGGAGCTGCTTTTCTGTTAAGTGAGGGCAGAAAAATGTTAGCTGTAAGTCACGATCCATTTGCCTGCTCTGGTGGGCATTTGCCTTTCAGGAGGGTGGTTTGACTCAGAAGGGTAAGGTGTCCAGAAACAGCCTGTCGATAATGGAAGGGGCTGGCACCAAATCTTCCAGTTTCAGGTAAAAGATGCGCTGCAGTCCCAGTGTGCAGAGAGAACGCAAGTCAGCCAGAACACCCAGTACCTTCGGCTCTGCAGACTCGAGCGGTTGTCCTTTGTTTTGGCAACTGAAAGTTAAGTGATCTTTCAAACTGCTTGTGATCTTGTTGCATAGCTCTTCCACTTTCTTTGGTTCTTTTAATCCATGTCGTTCTGCAAAGCGAGAGAAAAAAACACATCAGCACCTCTACCGCAAACTGAGAGAACTCGTTTGCTTTGGAGTAACCCAAATCCATACTCTGGTACTCAGAGCAAAAAATGCTTTGAAAGTGTAAGATTTCTCAGCACATTTGGGATTATATGATGTCACTTAACCTTTCTGCCACACAAAATAAGAGATGACAAGTGCCCTTTTCTCTTTAGCTGCTAAAATAGGCGGCAGAGATGCTCAATTATGATTGAAATTCTAGTACAAGGAGTCCAAGCATCCTGCGTATCTCGCATAATTTTCAAGATATGAGACAGAATTAATTGGGCGATTTTCCAGCAAAACTATCACAGGAGGTGTTTTGGAGATTTCCGTGCTTCCCCACCAGTTGTGAATGCTCAATAACTATGGCAACCATTATTTATTCAGTGAATTCAAGTGGCGATCGATATCCTTAGCCAGCTCCATCAGCGCCCGCGTAGAATTCCACCAGGAATTCGCAGACACTCTTACAAGATACTAAAGGCACCTTGCCACCCTTTGTTATTTTGATCAGCTGCTGCTTTTTAGTTTATTCATCTTTAAAAGGTCTAAGATAAAAGAAGCCTGGAAGTTAACTATTTTGCTTTGAGTGAGCAATGCCTAAAGTGAAAAGGCTACTGTGTTATCCATCACAAAAACCTCAGCATTCCACAAGGAAGGGGAGCTGGAGCTTGTCCCCCTTCAAATAGCCTTTTAAAATACTACAAAGATGTTAAACACATCCACAGTTCTTTAAGCATAAATAGAATGAATCAGATTTGGGATTCATTAAAAGCAGGTTCTTTACTGGCACATGGGAAAGAATTTTGTGTTTGCTATCAAGATTTAGTGGATAAATTAATATAATACTTCAGAACAAGAATCTTAAATAATTTTGTAATGTTTTGATTTGACTTTGACTTTGAAAGTCACAGGTAAGTAAGAGCTGGCTTCGTAGCAAAGTCATAATAATTTACACATGAAATAGAATTACACCAGACAGGGCAGTCTGAGAAAATGCAGGTTAAATTAATTTTAATCAACTAGACCTACAAAAAGAGTGACAGCAGCGGATGAGAAGTAAGTGTGGCAGTTCTCATTTTTGATGCATTTGAAGTCGTCTGCCCTCCCTGGCCCTCTCCCCCATCCCTGGCAGCCACAGGCCATATTGTGCCCATTGCCCCCAAGTCTTGTTCTTCTACTCCAGGAGGAGCGAGCGATAGATACTTTCTGTGTCCGTCCCTTAATGAACAGTGAAAAGAGTACAGTTTCCCTTACTTCCAGAAGCAGGCGTAATGCCTGCGCAAGGCGCAGCGGTGCCTTGCGCAGGCATGTGTATATAAACTCCTCGCTGCCTCCCCTTACCACCTGCTTTGGCTAGGTGTGCTTGACAAACCAATAAAACAGATGGGATTCAATGAAGGCAGTCAGAAATGTAAAGGTCTGATTTTCCACTGATATTCACCCATTTTACACTTTTTTTCAACTTTATTTACTTAGGCAGAGCTAGCTCCTGAAGAATACTGGTTTGGGATCAGAGACGGAGATGTGCAGACGTGTATAGCTCTGGCCAGAAGCTACTGTGCTCTATCGTTTAAGTACCATCAATCTGCCCTGTTGCTTCACAGCAACACTCATCCAAGCGGTAACATCTGCTTCAGACATCTTTTTCACCTTGCAGGAATTAAAAACCCTAGGTATTCTAAGTGCCTTGTTTACATTAAAACACGAAGAGTCAATGAATATTTAAAGCCTTTCCAGTAAATGGTGTATAGTGTAATTATGTAAGCCTTAACTATACAGGTCACTGAGAGTAAATACTTAGGCAGATTCTGCCATTAAAAATCTTGGTGGATAAATATTTTATACAGGTTTGAAAAGCTCTGGGTTTGTTTTTTTTTTTGTACCAGTAGCCTACTGAGAGAATCTGCAGGACATTAAATTAATCTTGCAGTCTTTGAAGAGTTCCCATCTTTTAATCTGTTTTGAGGTTGTTTCCTGGCTCTGTAAGTGAAGATATCTTATAGATCCAGGGAGCTGAAATACTAGAATGGATCCAAAACCCAACTACAAATTAGCAGAGCACATTTTTAAACCAATGCCTCAGCAGGTGTGTACCTTGCTGCAGAGTATGGAAAATTATCTCTGGCTCTGGAGCACACAGCAATGTTGTTAACATTTCCAGCCAGAACTAAACAGTATTTGTCTCACACTGACAAGTTCAGAAGGTTTCATGAACAAATCGTGTCTTTGGTAGCTAGCCATGAAACATACCGATGCAAAACACAATATGTGCAAAGATTATAATATTAGTAGCCTTACTTTACATAAAAAAATCATGAAAATTCAGAATTAAGAGATAGTCCATCCTTAAGCCACTCTCTGGTGCTACAGTATTAAAACAGTCTCCAATAAACCAAACTGTCCTCTCCTGCATGAATTACCATGCAATGGCCTTTGCTACTTGCAAATCTCTACAAAGGTAAATTCCTCATGACTGGAACTGCCTCGGGGGTTTTCAGTCTCCGATCCCTAAGGCATCCCTTGTGAACCCACACAAAGTCAAAGCCATCTATGTGGAAGCCCTTCTGCTAGTAAAGGGCGCTCGCATGCACTGGCATTGCCATTGCAGTCTCTGGTGTTAGCATCCAACTAATTTCTGGGGAACGTACTCGTATAAGAAACAGCTCCTCTCTCCAGTAGACCTGAGGAGTCTTGGGTTTAATGTACTCAAAGATTTAAATTTAATAGGGTTCAAATAGCAGGAAGCACATTTTCTTGCCTTTTCCACGCAGCCAGGCCCATCTGCACAAAGACAGACCCACAATCTTTCTTACTCAACCTAAAGGGAGCAGCACAAGGCACTTGTGGTAAGTGTGTGCCCTGGCACTGAAGCCGATGGCCTCTAATCATTCGCTGTCTTGCACAGGATGTTCTTATCCACATGGAAATGATAAGGCCAAGATTTATCCCAAGAAGGACAGCTAGTCAAAATGGATAGATTTTCTCTAACTGATTGAGGAGGTGTGTAAATATTATTGTATTCAGACTTTCTTATAATGACAATTAAAAAGGCATGGGTAAAGTCAATATAGGATTTCTCAGCCTTGTGTTTTAGGATACCATTGATTTTTGCAAGAAAAATGGTGATTTATGGCAAAGATGCTCTCCATAAGCCTGTCAAAATGATTCATCAGAAGTCTTGCCTCTAAAGCTCTGCAAACTTAGCAGCTCATCCTGGCAAACTGAATGCAGCAAGTTTTTTACACCTTTCTCCTTTTCCCAGGAATCTCAATGTGATTCTGTGCTATAATTAGGCTGATCAGCAAAAACTTGATAGGAAGAAAGCAAAAGAGCAGGAAAACCCGTCACCAGCTGTGCTAGTCCTTCTTTCCCTAATCTCTGACATGGGGTAGATTATGCCAGGGCTAGGCAGACTGAGCGCTACCTTTATGAGAAACACCTCTCAAAGAGCACAAGTATTTCAAAGACCTTGCGTACCTCAGAGACCCCTGGGCTCTGCGCTCTGTGTCAGGGTTTCCGATCAGAAACGCAACAAGATTTATGCTGCAGACTTAAAATAGGCCTCTTGATTGTCTCGGTTTCAATATAGTTATCTGATTTTCTCTTCCCCCTTCACAATCCTCTTCCCCTTCTATAACTCAAATAAGCACAAGGCTCAGTTGCCTACAGCTTTCTGGTTGTCTCGTGTACACTCTGTTACGCATCAGGATTGCCACTCGGCAGATCCAAAAGTCTCCTTTCCCGTTGCAATCTGGCCCATATTCATCCTGCCTAACTCTCCGGCACTTCACAAGGATGCCCAAGCGAGGAGCGCAGGCTTCTCGAGCTCCTCCTAACATTGGTGGAATGTTGGGCATTTTTAGAAGACGATTACAATTTTAGGTGGATGAATCATCTTCTGGAGGTGCCCTGTATTATCCACCAGCTGTGCAAGGCACCTAAAGTCAGATGAGCTGAATGACCACACAGGATGCTCCCTCCTTAAGAAAATCACAACGTAACAGAGAGACGGCTGGTTGCTGTAGAAGGAAAGAGTTCTTGCCTCAGCAAAAAGGTGGGAGTGGAGAAGGAGGAGTGAGTACTTCACTTTGATGCTGACAGTATTTCCCTCAGCAAAGTGGCGGGGGGAAGGCAGACAATGCAATCTGGAGGGGTTTTTTTTTTTATAACCGGCTCTCCTACACTCCTCCAGTCTGCCACCTGCTCGTATGTAGACCCAGCACACAAAGCACCCACTCCGGAGGATCCTGGCAACAGGACTGAAGGATATCTGCTGCTGAAGAGTAGGTGAGCCTCCCTTCCGTAGGGAAGTTGGACAAATTCATGTTCAGAAGGGAACTGCAGCAGCCAGACCGTTTTTAGCCAGACCGGACTCATTACTCTTTCTTGGTATGACTGATGGTGCAAAAAATTATGTTTGTAAACTGGAACGGAAAGCCCAACAGCAGGAAGACAAACACAAACTCATAATTAATTGAAACCTCACAATATTCTTCAATGTTCTGGTGCCAGTCTAACAAAGCATTAAGAGTGTGAATAAGCCCAATATATACAGTGGTTCTGGGCTGGTCTGTAACACACTTAAAATAAAACATATGCTGAAAGAGCTTGGTTGAATGAGGGCTAGAATGCTCTGTACTCAGCAGCATCCCACTGAGAGTGTCAAGTGGGCAAAACAATAATATTTTGATGTGGATAGAGAAAGGAAGAGGCAGAGAGGAAAAGTGAATCAGCAGAGAGAGAAAACACTAGCAGTTTTAGAGCAGGCAGAAATTTGAGGCTAAATTACAGTGTGCCCTTGAGATGATCTGCATTGGACTCTCAGTCTTTATATTTTCACACTGTTAGAAAAACTATAAAACAGAGCATTAAAAATGGTCATTTGGGAAGTTAAGGAAGCATTTTCAAGAATAGGCTGAGCTAATATCTGGTCTACTCTGCAAAGCTTCATTGTCAACACCATCCAGTCCACAGTGGAGTGGTTGTGCAGGAACAATTGTGATCCATGTAACACACTGAACTGACAGAAATTGTCCATGTGGAACTAAGGACAGAACTTGTCCCAAGATGACCAGCATTTTCTTTCCACGTTAGCGCTCTTCTTTAGCTCATTAGATCCTACATCCCAACAGAATATGTGATCCAAAGAAAAAGAACAGGACAGAACTCATTTCTTGCTTTCATGGGGATGTGGGGTGAGTGTCATGCGTTGTTTCCTAACTACTTTCTTCTGGCTGATGCTCAGAGCACCACTGATGTGCACTGGAGGAAGTTGTGTCCAGCCCTTGTTAACCAACTGAAGGAAGTAAAAAAAGAGAAGAGAGACAGAGAGAGGAAGATCCTAAAGGAGTACCTTAAAGAAAAAAAGACATGCTTTGGCATTGCAGAGTTTTAAGTTAACTGTTTGCAAGCTGCACACGATAAACCAGATGTCACTTCTTTCATTCTGGGTGCTCTTTCAAGCTGATGCCCTATCTGAAAGGACTTGAAAATTCAGCAGGAATCCAACATGATGCTTTTCCTTCTAGGCAACATACTGCAAATTCCCAGGAAACATAAAATAAACAGAAAAAGCACAAATATGTGGACTTTCTAATGGATTACACAATGCAAAATATTACAAAATCTTTTCCTGTTTATTTTATGTTGTGCATACCTGTAGTTCTACTCAAAGCAAGCAGGGAATTAGCGAGTATTGTGATACTCACTAGGTCTCCTGTCGTTCTCTTCAAAATTACTACATGGAACCAATGGTCACATCTGCCTATAACCATGCATCCTATGCTGTGACCTGCAGCTGTGGTTGAGATAGGACATGGAGCTTCACAGCTCCAAACAAGTCAGCAGAGTTAGTTAAAGGCACTGGAACTACTGGGGCTGTTAGCAGGGAGCCAATTTGACATCCCAAAATGAGTGAACAGTCTTCAGTATCTTGGGACACTGGGAACAGTGGAATGTCTTTTAGCCTCCAACACCAATTTTTACATTTCTTCCCTCTTCCTTCACTTGGAGAGAGATGTTAGTTCTCCCTGTCACTCTTGCAGAACAAAGAGAACATGCGAAAGAGAGTAACGACTTCTCTTACTTTTCTCCTTCAGCAATACTGCCAATGACTAGTATACAGGAGGGTTTGTTTTCTAAGAGCACGTCTTTGTTTGGGCTACGGAGAGCACTCATGAAATCAAGAAGAACAAACAGGTCATTACTCCCAGGAGCATTTTTCTTTACCCGGAGAGACAATTCTTGAATTTGGTGCTACCTAAGATGCTGTACAGTATTAAAACAAGTTATGACTATTATAGAACACTGGGCTGTTGTCTTTTTCTTTTTTTGGTTGAACCATCAAGTCATGAAAAGTTGACTAATGCAAAATAAGAACTGGAGCAATTTGTGTAATAATGAAGAAAATTTTGCTCAAGCCAACATTTCGGTTTTGCAGCATTGCTAATAAAAGCAAACAACTAGATTCACAAAACAGAGCTTTCCTGCTCCTTCCTATCCTGCAGCCCAGTGACATGGCTATCTATCTAGGACATGGGGGATTCATGGTCAGATTCCCTTTCTGTTGGAATCACACCAGAGACTGGGCCTCGGTGTCCCTCTGAGCACCAGCTTGTTCCCAAATCATCATACACAACAGCCATTCAGTGGCCCGCACAGTATGTCAGATGGTCTCAACACAAAAGACAGTGATACTCAGTAGTCAGATATCCTATGTTCCTGGAAAAAGTGACTCTTGCTCTGACTCACAAAAAGGGCTTGAACCACGGTTTGCTAGCAACCCATTGCCTCCAAGAGTCCATTGCAGCAGAGTACCTTCTCCAGAGACAAAGAATGGCACCTAAAACAGTCTAAGCCAAGCCTCAAAACAATGCTTAAAAATGTCCAACAGATTCCAGATTTCCAAAATGTATATTGTTTTTTTTTTTTTCTTTTGGTGGCACTAGCTGAAAACCAGCACATGGCTTGTCATACTCAAACTGTAGGGAGAAGGCAAGAAGCCATTTCTCACAGGATGCAATACCAGAGGCAAATCTCAAGGCTTTCCTGAATATAAAATTTCAATACACTATCACCGAGAAAGTCTCAAAAGAACCCTGCCCAGCAGCATTTTGTGCTGTAGTGCTCTCTTAGCCATAATTACCTGATTTCCTCTTTCAGCTTTTTTTTAATATCGTTCATCATTACACAATACCATCCATTTTCAGGTGACCAAATTTCTGGTTGAGTCCCTAAGTTACCTAGCTGCCCTTGGAGATCTGAAACCTGTGAATATAAATCACTAGACACAGGAGCTTCGGTCTAATTTAGATCGCATGAAGGTATACTCTGTCCTTGAGAGCAAATGGCCAGAGATATACTGGCCTCATGAAGTAAAAGAATAAGCAGAAAGCTACATTAATTTTAAGCACCGTCTCATACAGGTGAGAAAATCAAGAAAAGTTTGACAAATACAGAAAACCTTAAACCTTTTATGAACCGAAATGCTCTCCTTTTAAAGGCAACAGTTACTTCCATTTGTTTAGAAACTTTGGGAAGACCAGCACAATATAGCCAACTCCTGAAAGGGTTGTTATCAAGGAAAGGAAGAAATGTGGGGCGTTATTAATTAAAAGACATTTCTATGAAATATCTTAGGGTCACCCGAGACAGCCACTGGACAACTTCGACTCTTTATGTAAAGGCAACCAAACACTGCCTAACTGAACAAAGAATTATCATGTTACAACAGGGCATGGGTTCGTAAGGAGAAAAACTTTTCTTCCTATAGAACAGCTTTTTCTACATTCACACAGACAGCTTGCAGGGGATCCTGTTCATCAACCTGCATCCTCTGGGTCAGTCCTCTCCTCATCCTTATCAAGAAGATAATCAAGAGCAAGCTCCATCTAACTGTGTCTATCTAAAAAAGACGTATTTAAGATATAGTAAATAACCTAAATCAATGATAGGTGCTATATACATGTGACCTTATATGCCTGTATATAAATATATACGGAGACAGACAGCACCTGTCCTGGATTTATAGATACATAAATGCATACACATACATATATACATTGTACATTTATACACACACACTCACATATAAATATTTATAACACATATATGTAAGTATGCATGAACACATGTCTGTGGATGTTTATATATAGGAGTCAAAAATAAGTTGGGAATGTTCTTTCTTACTTTAACATACCACTGATTCTGAAAATTTTTCATACAGAACAACTCCACTGAGCTATTCTGGACTTAAGAGTTTTATCAAAGAAACTAGAATCTGGACCTTAATGAAGCTTTTCTAATTGCAGAGAAAAATGAATAGAAATTAATTAAAAACGTAAAATACTTTTCTTAAGAAGCAGAGAGTTAATGCTATAACATGTATACACTAACCCTTCACCCAAACGCAGGAAGGAAGCATACCATGTAAATGCTAAAGCCAAACTCTTGGCCCCACAAATGGCAGTGGGAATTGACCAATTTACAGTTTCTATGTTTGCCATTGAGTGTTTTATCTGAGTGTTTCCCAAGCATCATCTCAACCTAGGTAAAATGAAGACTGCAGCTGATCTTGCTGAGGCCACCATCTGCAAACTGGTGGATGCCTGAAACACAGGAGGAAATCAATATCCATTCCAGTGGAGCTTATAGCACCCCAGGAAGATCCAGCTCAAGGCATACTGAAGCCCTGTCTCACACCAATGACACAGTTGTACCTTTATACTACCAGCTTTTCTGAAATGAGAGTAAGGTTCTCAGTAGAGATGTCTCTGACTTGTGCTGCATGGTTGTCAGACACCCTTACTCCCAACCCTTCCTGCTTCCACCAGCCATGCCTCTTCAATCGCAAGAAGCCCAAGGTATGCAGTGCAGTACTTCAAGGAGTTTTGTTGTTTCAGGAATGAGAAAATTACACCTTATAAGGTTATGCTCCCCCATTTTGTACTTACTGGCCAGATTTGGCAGATTCTGACATTAGTTTCCTGCTGTTTGCCCCAGCAGGCGTGATATGGTCACATGCACACCCAAAAGCTTTTGTACAACTGCAGAAGAGGACTTTTTTCTTATTATTCTCCAATTTTCTCTCTCCAAAGAGCAGTACATGGAATACCTACACTAGCTTGGCTACCAAAAGCACCTGGCCTGTTCTCGTGAAGCACTCCTTCTGCTCTAGCTATCTTGCTGAGAGGTGAGCTGTACTAGCTGTATGGCTTCTAGCTCTCGAGCTACCCTGGTATTAGTATTCCTACACGGAAGACCTAGCTCTGGTCATTTCATTAGGCTTTTCTGGGAATTCAGCAAGTATTTTGCATGTTTTTGTAGGAGCTCCTTGGAAGCCGTTTGCTTTTTAGAGATTATTCCAAGAAAACAATGAAACCATGAAGAAATAGAGTTAGATTACATTTTAACAGGGGTATCTGATGGCCTAATGTTAGTCCACAATTTCAGTATGGTCATTGCAACGCTTAAAAATCATACTCACTTTACCCTGAATGTAGCTCAGTTAATTGAAATTGCTTGAATCTACATTAAAGCAAAGCACTAGAGTCTGAAGCTTTTTATTAACAAAGGAGCACTTACCTGTAATCATAGTTAGAGCTGATAAACTTGCTAAGGCTGGGATATCAAGGTTAAGGCTCTTTAAGTTTAAGGAAAAGTCTTTAATAGAGTCGAGCCACTCCCCAAATCCACGAAGGCACTGAAGTCTATGCAGCACAAGTCCATTGCAGAATACAAACTTATCCTCAGCAGTATCAGACCTCAAAGAAAAATAATTGAAAAAATTATAAATGCATCTTCTACTTTACAGCAAAATGCCTAACCAGTATTGAAGTGTCTGTCATTTAAAATCCAAGGCATATTATCCTGAGACATATGTGGGCATTCACATTTGACAATATGCTTCTCCCTTGGGGCCGAAGTACAACAAACAAGCTTCTATGATTGCTTACTTGGTAGAGTTATAAGCCTGAGGTTAGCTGTAGCATGTGGTGTAGACTGTCTAATTAGTTAAGATTTTGGTCCTGCCCAAAGGCATAAACAGAGAAGACATTTTACATTAAATACTGTATGTTTGAACCAAAGGAATACTAAGTGAGTGCATTTTGAAATACAAAACTAATAAAAACTGGAGAAAGAAGAGATTCTACAACTCTCAGCATTTACTTATTCTCATCTGCATTTTTCAGATTGTAAAAATTGATAAGGAAAAAACAATGGAAAATACATGCAACAATACACCACAATACACATAACATTATAAACTCTTTTACATGAAAACCTGTGTGTAAGAGCGATATTACAGCTAAGCTCTCCTCTCCTTTCCCTCCCCATTGCCAATATCCCTGTAAAAAACGCATGCAAAGGTCATTTTCAACCTAAAGAAACAAGGGCATAATTCAAATCACCAGTCTGGAAATCTCCCAGTCCCTGAAAGTGTTTTTGGTAAAGTGTCTTAATTAGCGCTAGACTGACAACTAGCATCTCACTCTATTAAATGACTCAGTAGTAAGAAGAAAACCAATCTGAGCAAGATTTTAAATCTTCTTCATCCCTTTCAAAAACAGGTGACAGAGATGTGCATGCGCAAAAGAAGGGGGAAAAGGAAAAAGCTTTCATACTGAAGGTGCTTTTCTGTAGTTTATGCTGATGAATACAAAGCAAACATGCTCAAGTAGTACCTGAGGATCAATTTTGATTACTATGGAAGAAGAGGATGGGGTATATCAAATAAAAAGAAGCACAGTAGCAAGACCTATGCTCTCTTTTTAAATGACTTTTTTGGGGTTTTTTTTCTGCAGTGTAAAACAAATTAAACACCATATCCTTTGGATGCAGACATTGCTGATGTTTTGTGGGTTTTTTTGGTACAATTGACAATGTTCAAAGATAGTGCCATATTTATTCCTTAAAAATATTTAGATGGATGATTTTTCACATCAGCTTAAGAGGAAATGAAATAAATAGTTACCTGATGGAGAGTCTTAGTACAAACAGCTCCAAAAAAGCTGATTCTATGAGTAATGTCTGATCTTCTTTTGGGAGGTCAGTAAATCCTGGGATTTTTTCTGCCCAGCCTCTAGTTATGTCAATGGAGGCAGTCAGAAGATTATAGAACTGTTGTACATGTTCTGCATCTGTGCCTGCAGCAGCCTGATCAGTGGAACAGTACTAAAATGAAAGCCACAGAAAGCAACGTTATATGCATTTAAGGGCATTCTGTGAAACATACGGCATTACTTGCCCGACAACATTTCCTTCTGTGGCAAAGCTGGTATTATTATCAAAGGCATAATAAGTAGGTCTACATCTATCTACCTATTTGGCTACCTACAGGCGTTTCACTATTCAGATGTATATTGCAAAAATATTTCCACATGTATAGAAATCGTTTAAAATTTATAAATAAAACATAATACTTATCACATTTTACAAGTACCTATATGCTATTAGCAAACAGAAACAGAAACCTGGTGGGTAGGATAATTTCCATCACACTGGAGGAGGAATACTATTTAACTTACTACAATTAAACACTTTTCCCATTGATGAATTTGTCTTGGTATGACCAAAATGCAGATTTCTTCCAAACCCTCTCAAACTGCATTTTATCTGACAGTGATAGAGACATGTAAGATAAATCATGTTTTATCTGACACATGCAGCATTGCTTCATTTGAATACAGAATTGGTTCAAAGTAAAACAGCTGCCCCGTATCACCTCTTTATCCTTCAAATAGAAGCATTTAAGGTTCAGGAGAACCTATTATCCTGCTTATGCGGCCATAACTCTTCCAGACAACCATTCGACAGGCTCAGCTTGCTCAGCTTCCCTGTGACCCTCTGACAGCTCCCTCCCCACTATCTCCTACTTCCCCACCAGTGGATCCCTGTCACTCCCATGACACTGCTCTGTCTGTCTTGGCAGAAAATAGAACAGGAGCTTTCGCAGCTGAGTCCGATTCTGGGCTTGGAAAGCGCTGCTGGTTTTCGGAGCAGGAACTGAATAATTTGGGATTTATTGTAACAACATCCTCGCCATCAAGACATCTGGTGGGTTAGCTCTGGGAGAGACTTGGTACTCACTCTTTCTCTGGGACTCAGCCAAAGAAAGGTCGGGGTGGTCTGCATGGCTGAAAGAAGTGCGCACGCCCTTTGGAAACAACTTTCCACATGCAGTGAGGGCTTGAGTCCATCAGCCTGAAGCTCTCCCTAGCAACTCTCCAAGCCAGGGTGGAAGCAGAAAGACCCACATCTCCTTCCCGATCTATAACAGCGGGCTGGCAGCCTGGGAGGAGGGTATTATAGGCATGCCACTTGGGCTGCAGATATCACCCAAGTTGCTAACTGCAACCCAAAAAGTCACCTCTGTGCAACAAAGAGTGAGGGGGGCAGCAAGCAGAACTTCTCGGGTAGGTGTCCTGTTCTCTGCCTGCCCTAGTTGGAGCTGGTTGCTGTCGGTAGGTAAGGGATGAAGGACACAGTGAAAAGAGTCACTGATTGCTTGGAGAACCATAGCAATCCCAGAGACCTCTGGGTGTTTCTGGGGTACCAGCGCTAGCCCTGAATGACCCTGTTCTGCTTACCCAACACTAACTGCATGAGTTTCTCATGGTAAGCTCCCGCATCTGAATGGAGCAGCTGGGGATGCTCAAGCAGCACGAACTAATTACTCCTGGCATCGGACTGCAGCATGATACGCTGGGTTGACTAGTGGGTAGAAAAAGATTATATGCTTTTTCAGAGACCTTGCGTGTTCTGGACCCTCTTAAGATGAAGCCGTGGAGCAAGCCAAGACAGAGTGCATCTTGGCTCTGGGAGATGTGCTTTGCTGTGCAGGGACTGACCTATGACTCCTCCTTTCTACAGGGGGAAACCAAACTCCTGCCTCACCATAGGTACTGTTAAGGCAAGACACATTCTTGATCCTCTGAACAGTGCAGGGGAAGGAGAAGAAAAGCAAAAGAAAAAAGACTCTACCCTAAGTTCATTCTAAATATAACTCGTCAGAAGTCAGTGTAATTATGCCAGGTATTAATTTGTTCCCAATATTTATAAAACAATCCTTTGGCAAAAGTGAGGCAAAGTTTTAACATTTTGTAACGAAGCTGAATGCTGCATTATGTCACATAACTGCTGTCACATACTGCTACAGTACAGTATACCCGACATAAGGCACTTAATTAAATTAAACGCATCTAAAAAAATTATAACCTGTATTTGTTGTTATAGTTCAGCCCAAGAGGGCAATTTTAGAAGAAAGGTAAAAAATTATATGGAATTGTGTGATTTTTAGCTGCTGTAATACATCACTGCTTGCTACAAAGAGTTAGCACTTACAAAGAATAGTTAAAATAAAATATTTACTTGTAACAGACTTAGGACTACATAAGTAACCATAAACAATATGTATGGTTCTGTTTTATGCACCAAAATCTGTAGTTTTTTCCATGATTATTTCATTGAGAAGAGGTGACATTTGACTTAATTTCTGACCAAGACAGCTGGTAAGCCTGCCCTTGGTCAGGAGGCCACGGTACAGAAGGGCTCAGAGCTGCATTTCTTAACCTGCCCTGTGCAAACTGGAGGCACACCGGGAGAAAGCCAGAAGACAAAGCTCTGCCTTACTCCCTTCCTCAGAGCTCCTTTGGGAATTAAATGAAACCCGACTGTTACTCAAGGGGGGGTGCGTGCATGCGTAGCAAGCAACACTAACTAGTATGCTGTATCTAAAGAGATTCGGAAAGCCTGATGTTGGGGAGCCTGACAGCACGACCTAGCTCTACCCTTTGCCTGCTTTCATGACACCTTCATCAGCTGCTACATCTGCAAAAGCCTAACAGTAACTTCTCTGCAGAGAGGAGAAGCTATGCTTCTTTTTCCAGAAGTCCCAATATTTGCTTCATTTTGTGGCTGGGGAAGTGGCGGGGATTATTACCTAAATGCTGCACCCTGCCTCCAAAAGGCAACATTTCTATTTAATTTGGTGGCTATTCCACATGAACAAGGACAGCAAGATACAGGGTCTGTTTCTCATCTCACTTACTTAGAAGTGTAAACTCGTGGAATTGTACCAGTAAAACAGGTGTGAGACCAGACTGCGGCCCTTGGCCTTTAAGGAGTTCATAAACCAAATTCTCTTCCTAGCAATTGCTTTTTGAAACCAAGTACCTAAATATACCATTGCTGTGGACTGGTAAGTTAAAACCAGTGCTGAAATGAAAAGTAGCCATGTTCTGAACAGAACTGCTTCCAATCTGTTTTGGTTTAAAATTCATAGCTTATGTAATTTATTTTTGGTATTGGTTTTGGGGTGGGTCTTTTTTGTGTGTGTAGGTTTTTTTGGAGGGAAGGGGTACATGTTCCTCTCTGAAACTCTTACCAGTATTTTTAAGACAGTCAAGACATTATAGCTTGTAAACATGAAGACCATGCTAAACATTAAGGTCGCGTCTGCAGAAGTGTTAGGACCGACTCCAAAGCCAGGTCTCCAGATCTACCCGTTTGTGGCAAGGTCACGGCCTAACCCAACGTGCCGTAAGTTACGTCTTCACAGGTAGAGGAGTATTCTTCAAAGGGATTTTTTAGCATTGCAGTGCATTTATGGCATATTCATTTAGTTAATCTCAGTTTTTATGCAGCCTTTGCTCCTGATCTCCCTTAACTTTTCAAAATAAGTATCAGGTTTATGACAAACATAAGACACTATTAATTTCTTTTAGTGCATTTTTGTCTTTTCAGTATTGTATATTTTATTGTAAAGAAAAACTTAGATACTAATACGTCCTAACAGACAATCATACTTAATCTTTTAGCCACCAGGGCTAAATTAATTTACTGTCAATCATAGGCTTCCTGTAATGTCCAACAGAATTGTTCAACAATTAGATCTAGAGGCTGTTTTCATTAAAAGAAAAATAATTACTGCAGGACAAAGAAAAAAGTCACATAAAAATACACAGTTTTCATATAGCTTTTTGTAAATGCAAAAGAACTTCCTATCTATAAATAAATAAATACATAAGGTTAGATACTGCTTTCAAGGCCTGGGCTATTATGCGCCTGTAATTCTGTGGAACCCAGCAGATTTCTGTCAAAGAGCACAGCTCGTCACACACCTCGGTATTTGCAGAATGACCCCTTGAGACATTCTGGGTAAGTTAAAATACGTGCAAATATGGCTAATGCATTCTCCCCCTAAAAGGCTGTCAGATACTGAATGGCTAGATTCTTAATAATAATTTGGAAAATTATATGATTGTATACTTACAGATTAGCTTGAAGAAAAGATGTTATAGCATGCTTAAAATTGCTAAATGGTATATGTAAGTATAGTCTAAAATAGAATAATGTAATTTTTATATAATTACAACCAAATATGTTTTAGTATTAAATATTACTTAGCAACAAGTGATAAAGGTCCAATGTAGATGTTGTCTGAGTACAGCTGTATTTTTTACAGTCTCAGATTTAATCATATTTCATTAAGGGGAAGGAATTTGATCTTGGTTTTCCTTAGCTGTATTTTTTTCTTTTCCTGTATCAACCTGCCTAAAAATGTATTTAACAAGCCATTTCAATGCTGTATTTTAATAACTATTGAACAGTGTTTTAAGCTTTTGAAATATTCCATGAATATTTAAATGATGAATATGATACATTAAAGAACAAGGTTACAAAAATATATAATCTCTGGTAAAGCTTTGCTGAGATAATTTTTTAGAATTTTGATTTTAAAAGGTTTGTTTTACAAATGTGAATTTTACTGAAGGAACATTCATGATGGGGTATCCAAAGCCAGACCCTTGTCCCATTTAAATAATGGCAAAATTCCTACTGATTTCAATGGAAATGGCCCCATCCATCCAGTGTTACTTTGCACAACCCTTATATCTGAATATTAGGGAAGTGCTATTACATTTTAGTCTTTGGAACCTGGAAATTAAGATACTGGACATACCAGTACTGCTCCTGAGTTTGGTGGATTAATCGATCATATTGTAATTGCTAGTGTTTTGGCGCAGCCTTTTGCAAGAAGAATGCTCTACTTATCCACATATTTTTGCTTTCACTCACTTTGTGATTGAGATCCTCACACTGAATAGTTACTGACATGAATTTCTACTGCACCTCCTTTCCCTTCATTGTCCCCCTACCATGAAAAGACATGGCTGGCTGGACAAATTTCTACCCTCATCCAAATTTCACATTTACTTTCATTTTAGCAAACCAGCTGGTAAGTAGAAATGCAGTTCGCGAAATCATTTCTATGGGGAAAACAAACAGGCGAAGAAAAGTGAGACATACTCTTGAATAGTCAAGCTCCCTGGGCGTGGAGTCGGTTAAAGCTCGTACGAGGGCGTTCATCATGCTGATGGGAGGAGAAGGCGGGGAGGGCTGAGAGGGTTCCTGCTGTAAGGGGCTCTTTGGTTTGGAAGGCAGCCGACCTCTTCTGCCTTTCAGGCTGTCAGTACGGACAACTAGGTTAAAAAAAAAAAAAAAAAGGGAATCAGTTCTGAAGAAACCAGCAAACGACGGGTCAGAATGAACACCTGCTTTTCTTACGGTGGTCAGCCCAGTAAAAATAAGAGCATTCTCCAGTTTCAGCACATGCTCTTGATGCCTTTGATCGCCAAGGAACACAAATGATACGAAAATCGCGTCAGACCTACGATTGTAAGCAGCAATGTAGCTGCTTACTTAAAGCCCAGCTGTGTTCCTAGTGTTCATGCTTTGTTCACAGCACGTCTGTGTGCCCGTGTGTGCGTGCCCATGCACGCAGACACACACACGCAGACACTCTACTGCTGAAAGAAAACTGAACGTGAAACACAAATTCTAATGTTCCTGCTACCGGTGCACCTTTTAAATGGCAGAGGAGTCGTTCATTCGAAGTAATTTTAGCTCTCTTGAAGCATTTGAAAAAAAATATGGTCACGCTATATAGGTTATATTATCCATGCTAGTATTTGCAATGGGACTCCTCACACAGTATTACTCACATACTTAAATATTTGCAGAATTGGGACTAATGAGTTGATCCTGTTTCCATTTAAATTAATTGCAAATTTACAATCAGCTTAGAGGAATGAGACAAGATCCTATGTCAAAATGCACACAACCCAGCGCGGCCCCCGGTGAGATAACAGGGGGAAGCCAACAGCATTATCGAGCAACGTTCAAAGTTAATAAAGGAGACATTTTGGCCAGTGTCAAATTATCCTCTTGTGACCTTGCTGTACTTGAACTCTGGGGTCTAGAGTCTACATACGATAATATGAGTGAAAAGAAGAAAATCAATACATTATTACACAAATGCACATATTTGGGGGTAAGTTATGAATCCCATCACTGTAAAATTCATTGTAAAGACATCCATGTCCACACACAGAGAGATTCATTGAATGTAACATTTCAGTGTCTGGGATAATAATAGCAAAAGTCCTTACCTTCTTTAACCATGCCAACGCTGAGACACTTCTGAAACCGGCAGTATTGGCATCTGTTACGACGTCTCTTGTCCACTGGACAGTTTTTATTTGCCAGACAAACATATTTTGCATTTTTCTGAACTGTTCTCTGTGAAAATGCAACACAAAAATAGTAAACTGATGGTTTCTTGAACAACTTAGAACCTGACAAAATGTGTTTTAATTACAACATGAAAAGCGACAGTGCAATTCATATAATTAGATAAAATTAATTTCCTAACACACTAGCCTGCAGGAAAAACAATTTTATTAGTGTTAGCTGCTGACAATGAAAATCATCTAGGATTGTTCTGAAGCAAGTCTCTGGAGACAGGCAACTTTGAATGATAAAATCATATCTGAAATTACCAGGTCATCACATCTACCTTTGGGGATTAGATTATCTCCGCTTTTAATATCCCTTTGGGAACAATTTTCTACTTGGTTCATTCCCTTGATTATTGCTGACCTTATTAAAATAAAATCAAAATGATCTGCAATGTATTTCTCTTGCTATCGCTATTGTTAGTCAAATACCACAATAACTGGTTTGGTTAGCCATTAAAATCATCGGGGAGAAAAATAAAAATATCAGAAACCCCTACAAAATATGCTTAGTTAAATTAAATATGCTGGGAAAGCTAACCTGACCTGGGAAAAAAACCAGACAGAATTATGCTGTAGTTATATACATTTAATTAACTCTAAAATGATCTTAAAACTATACAAGAAATTTAAAATTTGTAAAAGCCTTGAGAGAACATAACAAATATTGATGCAAAAATGTATTACCTCTTTCCATACTTAAACTCACAGGCACATCAAAAAATAACTTAGCACCGAAAAAAAGAGAGTAATAGGAAAGACATCAGAACAGGAACAAATTTATCAACTCAACATTCAATATTAAATCTTTCACTGCAATTAAATTCAGGGATAAATGTTATTTCATAATTTGTGTTCCTTTTCAAATAACAGCCTCATTGTACTAAATGTAAGAGACACAGCAAATATTGTTCTTTGCAATTTGGAGCTGAAAACTCTTGAATTTTGCAGAATAAGCTCTAGACACTGCTCCCAATCAAGGATATGCTCTTGATTTCCACAGGGGCAGGATCGGGCCCGTAAAAGCTGCTATTTCCAGGTTATTTGTGTTCCCTTTTCTAGTTACATTTAAATAACACATGAGTTCTGTAGGAGATGTGTATTTTACCATGTTGTCAAAGGATTATTATTAAGTAACATTAGCAGCTCCGTCTACAACAAAAAAAAAATGTTGTAAGCCCTCCCCCCAACTATTTTTGGACTATTTTTGTTCCCATCGTATCTTTTACCGGAACAGGGGCATGACTGCTATCTTTGCAGGAAGGAATGTACCAAATCAACCCCAAATGTATGAAATCTTCAACCTGCTGCCCAGGACCATCCTACCAAAAGTCTATCCCAAGTTCTTCACTAAACAAGCCATTTCTGAAAATAATGCTGGAACCTGAACTCGGAAAGGAAATTACGAAGCGCCCAAATCTGAGAGCAAAAAGAGAGTATTCGACTCCTAAAAATACAAGCACAAAGTTTCCACTGAGAAACGGCCGCCTGTAAGTTATTCGTGTTGCTATTTAGCTGCAGAGCCTTCTCTGTTACAGAGCAGGCACCGGGACCCCGTGCAGTGCTTAGTCACTGCTCTGCAAGCAGCTCTCCACCGGTGTGAGGGCTCACTGGGCTCCTGAACCGGAGACTAACGATGCGGCAGCAACCAAATAAAACTGGAAGGGCTCGGGTGTGGCCCACGTGTGAAACCAGTTTCCTACTGGGGCCGACCCCACAGCGCTCCTCACCCCAAGAAACGGCCCCAGGACAACAAGGAACGGCACCGCCGCCATCAACTCAAATGTCCAGTGGACTTTACGATTTTGGGGTTTCTTTTCTCGCTTAAAAACGAGCTTTAACTGGGGCGAGCGACCGAGCGGAGCCCTGGCTGGATGTACTCCAGGTGAGTTTCGCTACGGCCTACGTGCCGTTTCCCGCTCAGACGGGGGCGACCCGCGCTCCGTTGAGGGACGCCGGCAGAACCGGAGATGCGGTTCGGCCGGCTCACCGCCTCAGCCGAGACCGGCCGACCCTTTCACCCTACGGAGGGCGTGCTTTGGCCTTCTTGAAGGACTCTGGGTGGGCGTCCATCCCGCCCTGCTGGGGTGTGGGGGGGTCTCTGAGCTCTGACGCGCGACATCCCCCGGCTCCACAGCCAGGAGCGTGCCGGGGCGGGAAGGGAGGCCGGGGGGGGGGGGTTAAGGGGGGAGGGGGGGCAAAGGGCGGGGCCCTGACCTTGAAAAAGCCCTTGCAGCCCTCGCACGTCCGTACCCCGTAGTGCTGGCAGGCGGCATTGTCCCCACAGACGGCGCAGGTGCCTTCCCCGGACGAGGAGCTCCGGCTGGGCGGGGATGGAAGGCCGCTGCCTCCTCCGCCGCCGCCTCCGCCGCCGCCGCCGCCGCCGCCGCTGCTCTCGCCCATCAGGCCGGAGGTGGCTGCGTTGAGGCCGAGCGGTGAGAAGGCTAAGGTGGCTGGTCTTTTGGCCAGGTGAAGCCCGTAGGAATGGCTCTCCATGGGTGCCTGGCTGGCGGCGGGTCTGTCGGAGCCCAGGGGCAGGCTGAGGGAGGCAGGGTCGTAGCACATGTGGGCGGCCGCGGCGGCGGCGGCGGCGGCGGCGGCCGGCGTGTGGGGGGGCGAGTGCTTGAAGTGGAAGAGGGGGAAGCGGGGAGGCACGGTCTTCATGGGGGCGGCGTCCATCAGGTGGCCGGGGGGCAGGCAGGTCTGGGTGGGCTGCAGCGGGGGCTCGTCCCACAGGCTCTGGTGCGAGGGGAAGCCGGGCGTGGTGGGCGTGGAGGGCGGGGATTGCTTGAAGTACATGGAAGTGCTGGGCATGCCCTCGTCCGTGGAGGGCGGCAGGGAGGGCTGGTAGGGGGAGAGCCGGGTGTCTTCCATCTTTATGAGGGGCCTCTGGCCGGAGGAGGCAGACTGCATTTGGTAGAGGCAGGAAGGCTTGAGCTCGTAGCTGCCCGAGTAACCCTCCATGAAGGTGCTGAAGCTGGGAAGGGAGGTGGTGGCGGTGGCGGTGATTTCGGTACTGCTCAGGTCCATGGTCAGCTTGGCATAGTCAGGGTTCATGATCTCCGAGCTGTACTCCGAGCCATACGCGTAGGTCTGAGCTGCATAATTGGAACCGGGCGGTGAAGGACTATACTGCGCTTGCACACAGGGCATATCTGCAAGGGCAAAGGGGGGGACGTTAACAACAAGCCCGGCGTGCCGAGGCCGCGGCCCGAGCCCTCGGAAACTTCTTTCCTAGAAGCTTTCCCGCATTTCACGGAGCTCAGCTAGACACCTGACCCCCGCTCTCGCCCAGGCAGGGGACAGACGTACAAATTCGCCTGGAGCCTTTGCCTTTCAACGAGAAATACGCGTCATGGATCGACTAAGCGTTAGGTATTAGGGAGCCTGCTCTCATCTAGTCGCGGGAGCAACTCAAATTTATACCCGTGTCAGCGAGAGAAGAATCCACCTCAAGCTGCCCTACATCTGCTGCTTAATATACATAGGTGTCAATGAGAATTAGATAAGCAGAATGAAAACAGTTTATGGCTCTAAAGCTACCTCTGTACACATGCAACCCTGCCGGAAGATTTTTGTGATGGGTAAACGAGATTATCAAATTCATAATATTAAAAATGGTATTTATTTTAAAAGAAACGGCATCTGCAGTGCATGTCAGAGGGACGACTCAAATCACAGTGTTTGCTACTTAGGAGTTGCAAACATCAGTTTTGCTTACTCAACTCTGGGCCTTTGAAGCATATTTCTGGTCAGCTAATAATTTAAGGTTGCTGTCTAACTAGTAGTTTTAAGGCTTATCTGTGGTAAAACATTCTCCTAAAAAAAAGCGGGTAGTACAACATATCCTTAAATTTGCAAAAATGTAAGAGAGAAAGTATGTGGTATTTCTGTTTCTGGTTTTATGGGAAAGCAAGGTTGAGGCTGCTAATATAATTGGTTTTATCCATTAGTCGTAAAAGTTAATGTGGTTCACTGATAGCTGGGATGGTTGAAGCAACACAGTGCCTGACTATAAAGATTTGATTTTTTTTTTTTTACTTTTCCTACTAGTTTGCTATTTGCTTCGCTGCTCACAGGAAATAATGGACCCAATTCTGCAATCCATTTGAGGTTTGCCTGACTAAACACTGTGAGATTCTAGCCCAATATTTGCAGCCCAAACTAAAAGTGCGTGGTGTGTTTCGGTTCCACAACAGAGGAATAAAATGCACAGGTTAGTATAAATTCTCCTGTAAAGGGAAAAGTAAATATGCAGAAAATGTATATCAAAACTAAGTGCAGTTCATCTCATCTTAACTGTGGTAATTTCTATTCCAAAAGCACTTGAGAAAAAATTCATACTAAAAAAAAAAAAAAAAGCTGTGTTAAAAATAATGGGGTTTTCCTCAGTATTTTAAGAACTCCCTTCACTTACAATTTTAAGATTTTCACTTGAGCCTGTCATGCAGGAATTAAAATAATTTTTTGCTAAATCAACTTTTAATTCTTTCCTGCCCACTTTGCAGATAAAGATATTTAAACTAAGCACCAGATTTCAATTATCGTACTGTCACAAACCATTCAGATCTTCCTTCTTCTCAAGAAAACATTAAAAACTGAGAAAAAAAATAGTGCTGTTTTCTGAAGTTAAGACCTTCCCGCTTGTAAATCCAATGCTTAAAGAAAGAAGCAGCACAACCCTTTCACAAGCCTTGCCTCCCAATGTTATTTATGTATTTTTCTAACGTTCTCTTTCTTCCTATCAATTTCTGTCCGTGCCATTCCACGCACACACATTTCATGGCAAGTCCTGTTGCTATCATTTGTTAGTTTAAGGACCAGCTGTTAGAACGTAGTGATCAGTGCTTAATCAAATAAAAAGGGAAAGAAATTCCTTCCACGCAGCTCCACTGAGAGCTGACTGAGGAACACAGCTGAGCGACTGGACAGATAACGTCACAAGTGGATGTGTTGATACACAGCTCTATGAAGGAAAAAGCCTTTTCTGCTAGCTCAGAAAATGAGCAGGAGTTCAGGGAAACAGATCATCGTGCTTTTTATCCTGCATTTTTCTGAGCATAACAGGGTTATGTCACTGAATTCCGTGCAAAGTGGAGTAAGAAAACGTAAGTCTAAAATGAGTCCGACCCGAGGACAGAAAAAATGTCCCTCACCTAAAGGTCTGGTCTCTCCTGGCTCTGCGGGACTCCTCCTACCTCGCCAGCGCACTTGACGGACTAATTCTAACCCCTACTTTCCCACTTAGGGCACCAAGATTAACTACCCTGCAAAGTAAATAACCTGGGATTTTTTCGTCTTTACGCGACCATATTAAAAAAAAAAAAGCCCCACAGGAGGCGCATCGAAGAGCAACCTGCCCTCGGAGCCCGAATGAATGGGTACAGAAATCAGGGCAGGGGCGTTCCGAGCTATTCCCTCCTTATTCTGCTATCTTTGCGAGAGCTTGACATACGGGATGCCCAGTTCAACGCCAAGCTCCTCAGAGGAACATGAGCATCCCACCCATTTTCCCCTTAAATCCTGCATGTCTTTGGTCTGGGGGGGCGGCTCGAAGCCCACCCCCACCCCTCCCTTAAAAGCCTTGTGAAACCGCGGGCGCTGCCCAGATCCCTTCGGGATTTAAACAACCCCCGCAGCCCCGGTACGGGACATACCGAAGGGATTTGGGAAGGGCAGGGGCCGAGGCAGGTGCTTCCCCCCCCCCCCCCCCAGCGTTTTCCTCCTCCTCCTCTCCCGGGAAAAAGCCGCCCCCGCGGAGCGGCCGCTTACCTGGCGGGTATCTTGCGCGCTGAATGGTGGGGCTGGAGGTGCGGA